ATGATGCGAAAACCCCTGGAGCGGAGAGAGGGAGCCCCCGATATCGCTGATCTCACCTCGATCAGAATATGCTTATTGCCCGAAAAGTTCGAACTGATCGGCCATTGGCTGGTAGAGCGGGGATAAGAGACATCCTGGAGATTGTCGATTTCGTTATGGCCTGGAATTTTGCCTTGCAGATAAAGCAGGAGAAGATCATGTGGGGGATGATCAGAGTAGAGCATCCACAGACTGGATCCCTTCGTGATCCACTCCCCGTGTGTTGAGCTGCCATATTTTTGCGGTTGTTGGTTGGCTGATTCCAGAACGATAAGGAAATGATCGACCAATGGCATGTCTCACGCTAAAAGAAAATGGGCGTCTTTTGCGCGGACGGGAGGGAAGGCCCGGTCCCGATGTAGGCGGCCAAAAGCAACCCAAATAACAGCAGCCAATGGGGCAAAGGCCAAGGCGGTTAGGACGACCGGCTTATTCTGGCCTGTCTGCTGATCCTGTGCTATATGCTTTTATCCGGCATTGGTTGGAGGAAGCAAAATGCTGCAACAGCTACTAGCCGAACTGCGAAGGAAAATACTGCTTTTGCAAGAAAGGAAAGGGCCGAAACGGGTGGAAAAGGGCGCTAGGAAGAAACGAAAGAAAACGGAAATCGAAAGTTGCTGAGTGGCTGAGCAACCATACGGTAAAAACACGTTTTGTAACGGTAAGGTTAAGACGAAAATGACAACAACCAAGGTAAAATACCTCCGTGCATACAAAGACGGGTAACGGGTGAAGATGACAGGGTTTCCTGGGCATGTCGGAAAGCGCAACTTTGGGTGGATAAAGGCCACACAGATGCCAACCTTTTGTCTTGGAGCAGAATGGCGTGCTCATTGGACGAGGGCCAACGACCTTCAGATCAAGTGACCGGAGGACCATGCACGCAATCACCAACGGCCCATCTGTATCCCTTCCAATGCCGCGATTGCATGCTGGGATATTTAGCAGATGCAACTGCAACACCGCATGATCCCTTTTTTTTTTTTTTTTTTTTTTTTTTTGAAAAGAGCCAGGGATCCCAGCACAGGTGACGAACGATTTGAACGATGCCCTACCCGTTGGGACATTATGATACACATGGTGGACAGCATCGAAAAAGAGACGATGACACAATAAAGGGAAGGTCTCATTCATTCCTGAAAAGAATGGAGAAAAAAGCCGATTCGATTCGTGCACTGTGGATGGGAGAACAAAACCAAAAACGATATTTTAGGCTTACCTGTCAACTATCTGTCCCGTATCTCCAAACTTTCCTGGCCCTTCGACCATCGCATGCTGGACGAGAGCAAGGACCCCGCCGAGCCATGGCATTCGTCCAGGCACATCGAGTAATTGCGAAACCATGCCAAACATTCTATATTTGAGAACGGGTCGACGGGGGCTACCATTGCGAGACCAGGGTTGAGATTCACACGTAGGATTGGCGGGAGTTGATGAAAAGGTAGATGGTAGTCTATGTGAAGACACGGGAAGCGACGGTGACGCTACTCGAAAAAGTCCAACCAATACAAATCGAATAGTCATAAATGTCAGATAGCAATATTGCAGTATTCTCCACAGCAGCATTGATAAATTTGATTGGTTTGCACCAGACGAATCGCTGCGGCCAGAGTCCTCTCTGGGGACAAACAATCCAAACCTCTCCAGTCGGCTTTTTTGACCGTGCTCCGCCTCCTCGTCTTTATGGCCGTCTTGTTTTATCACGGTGATGAGCCGTGTGAGAATCTCCCAGATAAATGGACCCTCGCTCGCTTTATCACCGACAAGCTCGCCCAAGATCATATCCGCCAAAATATCACCAACCAATGTCCTCAAGTAAACATTCTCCAAATCCTCGGTTGGGAGAAGCACAGCCAAAACACCCTGGGCAAGTAATTGGCGGTACGCCGTCTCTCGTTTCTGTTGCTCCGCGATCGTCACACCGTCGGAGACCTCAGGGACAGGGGAAAGCGCTGGATGTGGGTTCAAAGTATGGTAGACTGTATGAAGATAGGACGTAGAGCGGTTTAAATGTGGGCTTTGGCGGGCGGTGCGGTACGCTATATTCCGATTCCGTTGTCAGCCCAGCCAGCTTGGAAGCATCGATCTCACACGGCTGCACTCGATTCTCACCAACAATATGTGCTTCAATCAGCGCAGGAATCTCATCCAAGACCAAAGCATCCACATCTACTTGCCGGAGCCTTTGCTCGAGCGCACGAGTGCAGTGGGCGATAATTTGTATAACTTCATCGGTAAACGTGTGGTCTGGGGTAATTTTTGAGTACCAGGCATAAACGAATTCTTTAATTATGATTGCAATAAGAGCATAAAGCTGTAGATCCACTTCGTTCGAACTCGTAAGGGGAGGAAGCAACTCTTCTAGTGGTCGAGGGGTTCCCCGCTCGCGCTGTTCTGACCCATGGCTACCAGACTGAGGGCAGAGAACGCGGCGGATCAGAGCCGCTGTAGCTTTATCGTTGGATCCATTGGTTTGACTGGCTGATGCAATGGACTTGCCCAATTGGCGAGCCTGTGAAGGTGAACGAGAAGCGGAGGGAGATTTAGAGGATGGTACGGCAAGGGTTGGCTGCTTAGCTGAGAAGGGTGTTGGTCCAGACTTGGAGGCAACGGCTTGGGAAGGGCGTACTCGTCCTGTGTTATTGCTCATCTCCCAAAAGTTGTATGCGCTTCGCCAATACCCCAGTATGATTGCATCGACAACACGGATTGGCAGCCGATACCAGGAACAAGAGCCTCCAAAATAATGGGAGATTGGGTTTGATTCGTAATCTGGCAGGTTGAGATGGTCGTTGTCGGACGTCTTCCTCCGCCAGCTGTTCGGTGCTGAAATCATGCGGCTCCGCCAGTTGGGAGCGGGCCGAGAATAAGGCCGGGTTAGCGTCTCAACTAGTACTAATACATACTAGCGTATTTCACATCCCGCATATCTTATCGATAAGAACATATGTATGTAGAACGTTAGGTAAATATCTTCGAAAGTGTCAGGCCGGTATCAGCAGACAGCGCGTTGCACAAGCCTTCACCATCATGCCGTATCAGACGCCTGAGCTCCTGTCGCATGAAAGACAGGTGACTCCTCTTTGGCTAGATTGTGATCCAGGTGAGTTTTACCCCTTTTTAATGCCCACCAGTCAAAGAAATGTATAACTTGACGCTGACCCTATATCAGGCCATGATGTAAGTTCTCAAGTTGCCAGCATATTAGATACCTTTTTCGACAAAGTGTGGGAATGGAGTTGAATCTAATGGACGTGAAAGGATGCATTTGCCATCCTCTTAGCTGCCCACCACCCATCTCTGAAGTTGCTGGGGATCAGTACTGTGCATGGAAATGGTTCGCTTGAAAATAGCACAGTGAACGCTGGATGCATCCTGGAAGCCATTGGCAGGTCAGATATTCCTGTATATCCAGGGGCATACAAGCCATTCTGTAGAGCAGCTGTACATGCACCGGATATTCATGGTATGTGAAACATATGCTGAGCTCTGCCTATCGTCCAGATCAATAATTGACACGCAGGATATGATATCAGGCTTGTCTGGACTTGATGGGACCGATTTACTTCCTACTCCGACGCGACCACCTGTGAGGAATCCAAATGCGACTGTCGCCATGCGAGAGGCCCTGCTGGCACAGCCTAGAAATACTGCTTGGCTAGTGGCGACTGGAACGCTCACCAATGTCGCACTACTTTTCGCAACATTTCCTGAAGTTGCGGAGCACATTCGCGGTCTCAGCATCATGGGTGGCGCCATAGGTGGTGGGTTCTCAGATGCTTCTATCTGCAAGCGGCCAGGAGCTGAGGCCCGGATTGGAAATACGACACATTTCGCAGAGTTCAATATCTACGTTGGTATCCTTCCTTGAAATGAATCTTAGGATCCGTCCTAGTTTAAGATTTCATTTATTTTATTGATGGCTAATCAATAAATTCAGTGTGATCCCGAATCTGCACAATCCATTTTCTCTTCCCCGGTTCTCGCACGGAAAACAGTTTTAATACCCCTAGATCTTACCCACAAAGTATTAGGCACGCCAAATGTGCAGTCTCTGATTTTACAGACTGAAACTCAACCAGGAGCGAACGGGAATGGCGTGATCCCGACTCCCTCAGTCCTCCGCCGAATCCTCCACGCCCTCCTCATCTACTTTGCAAACACTTACGAAAGCGTTTTTGGCCTTGACGTTGGACCCCCCTTGCATGACCCCGTTGCCGTTGCTGTGTTATTGTCCAACCTAAACCATAGTGACAATGGAAGCAAACCGGGAATTCTCAATTTCGATGATAGGGACGGCGAGCGCTTCCTCGTTAATGTTGTAACAGATGGTCAACATGGTTCAGGTCCAGAGATTACTGGTGAGGTTGGACGGACAAATGCAAGTCCCTTAGAACGCGGCAAGTGCGGCGTGACCATACCCCGTGGGGTCGATGTTGATGCATTTTGGAATATCGTTCTCGAGTGTCTAAAACGGGCAGATGATTGGAACGCTTCGCGGGTCAGCAATCAAAACTAGAGCGGACTAATTGGTGCGATTCTTTTGGGTATATTTGTAGGTTTGGAATGGGTTTTGTAGCGTTGGACATCTTCTGCATCTCTGTGGTGATCGTTGATTTATATCTTCCATGTATAAACTTATTTATATATTTATATATTCACAAAAAGGACATATAGATAGATGAAAAATAGACAATAGAACGTTCCTTTTGACCAGAGGCAGGGTGTTAAAAAAACAGTTGATTTTTGTGGTAGAATCTTTCTTCTACGTCCACGTTCTGGCAGACTTCTTGCAACCGACAGGACGAGCGATTGGAAGCGAGACAAGGGGTTGGAGTTACACGATTAACTGTTACGATTCCGATCACCTTGTGGAATCAAGCGGCCAATACACAACATCTCTCATACCCTTGAACTCATTAAGCCCCGTTTCTCAGCTATTATATGCTCTGAGTACCCCCATCCCTGTCAGTTGAATCGGAGACACTCAATCCTCAGAGGGAAGCTTTGCGGCCATGTATCTCGTTTCCACGTCTTGTTCCCGCCTCTCAACAATATAAATAGAAGCTGCTACCTTTCTCCCCTTTTATCGGTTATCAGGTTACCCCTCCATAGACTCCTCTCCGAACGATAAGTTGGTGTGGTTTCCGTTACGAGAACTTCCCCTCATTGATCTCCAATACCCCTCCACAAGGTCCCTCGCGAAAGAAGTACAAGGAGGAAAACATGGGTAAAATTAAGAGCATTGAATATTTCCGCGTACTCCCTCGCTGGCTGTTCGTGAAAGTAGCTGATGAAGATGGAAATCATGGATGGGGTGAAAGCACCCTGGAGGGACATTCGGAAGCTGTCGAAGGCGCATTGAATGCGCTGTGTAAACGCTTTCAGGGCTATGAAGCGGAGTATGTCAAAAGACCATCCACCCAAATGCCAAAATTTATAAACATCCAATGACTGACCCAACCGGCATAGTGATATCGAACAAATCTGGCAAACGGCCTGGCGCCTCGGCTTCTATAGGGGTGGTGCTGTTTTCATGTCAGCTATATCCGGTATCGATATTGCTCTTTGGGATCTCAAGGGCCGCCAGCTAGGTGTACCCATCTATCAGCTCTTGGGAGGCAAGCTCCGTAACAAGATCTCTGTCTATGCTTGGATTGGAGGCGATCGTCCAGCAGATGTTGAAGCAGCTGGCAAAGCGCGGCTAGCTCAAGGGTTCAGAGCCATAAAAATGAATGCAACAGAAGATGTGAACTGGCTTGATTCCCCACGAGTTCTGGAGTCCAGCGTCGAACGCCTCAAAGCCGTGAAGGCTCTAGGGCTCGACGCCGCTCTTGACTTCCACGGCCGTCTCCACAAACCCATGGCCAAACAACTTGCTAAACTAGCGGAGCCCTACCACCCCTTATTCATCGAGGAACCCCTACTTTCGGAGCATCCGGAGGGCATAAAACAATTCTCCGGCCACGTCTCGACACCGATTGCATTGGGTGAACGGCTCTACAACCGATGGGACGTCAAGCGGTTCTTGGAAGATGCAAGTGTTGATGTCTTGCAGCCAGATATCAGCCATTGCGGAGGTATTTCCGAAATCCGGCGCATCGCCGCGATGGCAGAAACGTACGATGTGGCGATCGCCCCGCACTGCCCGCTAGGCCCCATTTCGCTGGCCGCCAGCATGCAAGTCGACCTCACGATTCCAAATTTTGTCATCCAGGAGATGAGCCTGGGCATCCACTATAACACGGAGGCGGGCTCGTACGACATTACCAACTATGTGACGGATCCTTCAGTTTTTGATGTCAAGGACGGATATGTGGATGCACTGACAAAACCCGGGTTGGGAATCGATATTGATGAGGAGGAAGTACGGCGCGTTGCGATGACTGCGGAGTCATGGCCTCCGAAGGGGTTTTATGGAGTTGATGGAGGTATTAGGGAGTGGTAATTGATGCCGTCTGTATGCCCAACATATAATATTCTTTGCCCTTCTTCGGCGTTTGCAGCTCCTTCAACTCTTCCCATTCCATTTCGAGAGCTGGGAAGGGAGATCCTGATGTAAATAATTTGTTTCTGTTTCGGGCTTGGGCATAGAATTCTAGAGAAAGCAGCGATTGCTGTCTAGTTCACTGGTCATCGTCGGCGGGGGTAAACAACTTGTTTCATCACCAAAGCCCCTCAAATGCAGGATTCTGAGCAAACCGTCAATGTATCAAACCACTTGGATGCTTGTTAGACGCTGGAAGCATACAACAGTTTTATACATGGACGGGTATGTCCCGTTCTAGTAGGCCTGTCTGCGGCAAGTAGCACAGCAAAACAAAATACTAATGTCAATTCGAAGAGTTTCGTTTGGGAAAAAACAAATTTCAGACTTGGATGTGTCCGGGTAATCCTACTAGATCGAATTGAATTGATATCATCGTTATTTTCGTAGATATTTCGATTCAGGCGCAATAGGGAGCTTCAGCAATTTCCGTCAGCCCTTTGAGTACTTTAGATGCGTACGGTAACCAGTCAGTCCTCAACGAAACTAATAAAGGAAACATCGCAGAAGAGTCCTACCACTTCCAACAGAAGCCCAACCAACAGCTAGCCGATTTCATGATCTCCGAAGTTGAATATTAGCCAGCCAAACAAGCCAACAGGACAAGGAATGGCCACCTTGTCCGTTTGATATGCCTACGTACTGTGCATGGACTTACTATGCAGCACATTAAAGGGCACCTCACAGGAGCAGGACAGTGGAGAGAGAAGAGCTTACAAAGAAAATAATAGAATGCAGGAGTTATTATATTGGGATTGCATACATATAAACAATGGGTACCCGCCTCCTCGTCCTACTTCCGAGAAAAAAAGAAAGAGGGGGAGATTCTGCGTTAAATTCAAACGCCATGAAGACTTTATATATTTATATATATATATATATATATGTTTGTCGTCTACCTCAACCTGCCTTTCGCGGTTTCCATTGGGGAAATTCGTGCTATTTATGCACCCTGTCAATTCATTTGGAATTAAATAAAGGGAACAACAATTTGCACTGTCAGGTAAAAGCAAGAAAATGAAGGTATGTGCGGCAAATTATTTGTATCCAGCACCTTTGAGTGTACAGCCAAGTTCTGAGTGCCGGGTGTCTTTCCAGACAGATAACAGCTATCTTTCTTGTATGTACATGTACATGTAACTGTAGCAGCAGCTAGGCGGGCCGCCTGGAAGTGAGTACCCAACACCCCCTCCGGGCCCGTATATATGTATAAGCACAATATACTAAACTTTTGGATCGTAAAAAGTCGCAAATATCACGAAAGTCCCCTCTGGTGCAACAAGGGTGAGTGATCCTTTGACGGCACAAAACCAAAACCAATATAATCCAGATCGCCGAGGAGTTCTGCAATGAAAAATATGGGCAACCTGCGCATGCCCCCGGGAAAGCCCGCTTGAAGAATGCGGTAGTCCAAACTGCTGAAGGCAAAACCGGTCGAAATTCAACTCTCGTTATTCAAAGGGTAAAGCCTACCCCCATCAGCGCCAGAGAAGGTGGATCGCGATATGTGCTTTTTATCTGTTTAAAAGGATGATCAATGAATGCCCGGAAAAAGTCAATGGGGGAGATTTGACGCATGATATGGGCGGATTCAGCATGGTCGATAATAGACCATGGGCCCCAGATGATCAGTTACGCACCGAATCGTGGAGAGCGACCATAAGGCCGGCCACGTTAAAACGGACACAGCGGCGATCGTGAAACGGGTATCTTGAATATTCAACGGTGCCGTGCCGTGCACGTTCTACGCTCGCCTTCTGATTTCTTATTCAACTTGGCCAGCTTGCTCAGAAACAGTTTAATCCATGCTCTTAAACTGTACCTACATATAGTGAAGGAAGGATAAACCCGAAAATTGGAATAATGGCTGATTTAAGATGATAATCCATACGGAGTATGGTTCTTCATACAACCAAGAACTGTGAACGCGGCTTCACTTTGTTTTTGTCTTCAAGATATGGCCATAGTCTTATCGTCTTGGGACTGTAATTCATTGCGCACCTGTGGTTTTGGGATAACGAAAGACACCTCTAGCTCCCAGCTTCTGAGACAATTCCACATGAGCGTGGCACATCATCGCTGAGGTCTACTTGGACAATTCCAAGCGGAATATAGCCTCAGAGAGGTGCAATACTGAATGGCAGGTATTGACCATCGGGAGCTACGCAACCTTGGAGCATAAGCTAAATTCTGAACCTCCTGCAAGATGCTGTAGAATGCCTGCCGGATGGCCCGCGAAATTGAATATTTGCACACGTTCTCGTAAGCTCTTGTGGAAATTCTGGGACTGTTCCGTTGCTGCGAGAGTTAATTTCTGTGGGAGTCGCCACAGTCAGTTCTGTGCGAAAGATGCCCCACGGAGCTTGCTCCCAAGGTTCTGTAACCGAGCTGGTTAGTTAGTTATATACCTTAGGTTGGAATTTTTAAGATCTAGCTATCAGAAAGACGGATATCGCTGTGACGCGGACGTTGGTGTTGTTGACTCCCCAACACGTTTCCAAGCCGAGTCAACTCGAATGGCGCTCTGAAGGCCTGTCTATATTCGAACAAAGAGCACCACCACCAACGTTGTCTAATTTGAGCTATTCGTCGGATCGATTGAACATGAATGACAGTGTGAAACGAGGGCAGGCTGCAAGGGATTTGACTGGACGTTTCAGTCAGAATGTCAAAGACAGAAAGGCCAGAAGATGACAACGACGACGACGACGGCGGCGATATAACGGCTCTTTGTGTATACCCTGGTCAGTTCATCTGAGCGGATTTCTATAGGTCTGAGATGAACAAGTCACCGTCCTCCTCGCTGCGATCACATCCACGGCTTCCACCGAGACCAGTGCGGCAGGCAACATCCGTCCGTAAGTCATTATGATTTCTGTCGGAGTTAGCTAGACGTATCGCTCCTATGAGTCTACCCTGTACTCGTATTCGTGGCGGAGAATAAATGGGGGGTGATAAGGTCTAGTCGTTGCTGGTCAACCCGTGCCGCGGTCTTGATTGAGTGATGCAAGAACGAACTAGAGAAATCTCGCCAACGATAAGCACCTCGTCTTTTATCCGCCGCCGAGTGACATCTCCCCTTTCCGTCGACATCCATCTATCTTCATCCTGGCTTTAGACTTATCAACTCGTTGTGATGCGATAATCTGACTTCCTTGCATGTCGAAACAAGGCTGCCAAGGACTAAAATATAGCCGAAAGGCCCCATGTTCGCAGTTCATTACCTGACAGCCCGCCTTGTCTGCTGCCGTATCCGCATTTCCATCCATGCAAAGGTTAACTAACTGACATCTCTGGCCATCACCAAAGGACCAGTAACCTTTGAACTCTCTTAGTTCTCTATCTTTATTTCCTTCCTTACGTTATCTCCAATAGCAGCTCCAGACCATCTCTAGAACTGTCCCCGATCTCGCAGCCATCCCCATGAGTCTACCCGAAGACGAAGTGAATGCCGATAACATAAGCTTTTTGCGTTCGCGCAGACGCCCCTCTCTAGATTCATCGCCTGGTCGTGTGCGACATCGAAGGAGACAGTTGCAGCCTTTGGAGGATGAGTTGAATAGTAGTATGGATTCTAACGATCACAGAAGGCCCTCTGTGGCTGTCGGGGTAAGCCGTCGCATCCCTATCGTCCGTCGTCGGGAAGCTCTAAATGGAGCCCCCAACTACGAAACTCGCTCCCGTCCACCAAATTCTGTTTACACATGGGCGCCAGGATCAGATTATGAAGAGGACGAAGATACTAGCGTGGATCCTCCGAATCTTATCCAGGAATTGTGGGATGGTAGGTTGCTAAGAGCGAGACATACGGCGCTGGGATCTCGGGATGACAGGCGGGAAGGATCAGCAACATCACCCCGTCTATGGGCTGGAGACCATAGTGGAGAATCAATTCAGCCGTCACGGTATGGTCGGAGTGATCTGGCTACTGCTACGTTACTCCAATCTGTTCGTCGCCACCCGAGGTTTTCCTCCCGAACTCGTACCCTACAGACCTACATCCTCGATAGGGAACGAGACGGGCGCGAATCGGAGGAAAGAGACTGGCAACCTTCCTCTGCGACTTCCACTATAACTACGAGCTCAACTACTTCCCCGGCACCCCGTTCTTCGGCCGCCAACCGTGGGGATATGGCTAGGACTATTAGCGCCTCGGAACTTCGAGATATGTACGGCGAAGAACGGTCGACGGGCGATCGCCTTGAAGAAACAATAAAGTATCTAGATAGGGTGCGATTCGCTGAATCGTACGATGAGAGCGTACAGGCCGCCACTGCGAGAGATTTTGTACAATATGAATATTTGCGCCGCAACGAGGACGACTTTATCCTTGACACCTCGTCAATAGGTAGCCCTGCAGATTCTTCGTGGTTAAAGCCAGGGACAGTATTTGTGGGTTCACAACATGCTACGAATCATTATTCTAGTTCGGCGATGTTTAATCTGAGACCGAGATCACACCAAATCGATGATCCCGTCATTATCAACGGAACCGAACTCGGTCGCAGCGTATACACAAGCGCTGGCCGCCGCAGCTATGGAGCGGATACTCCGCACGAGATTGGAAACAGCGGCCCAATGGAAATGAACAGCAGCAGTAGGCATGAACACTGGCCTGTCAAGGTTACGATACATAGCGTTGATTATAACACGATGACTCTTTCTGGAACGATGGAAGCCTATAACATTCCTGATAAAACCTCCAATAGCCAAGGGGCGCATATATCCACTTTCCTCGAGGGTGAAATCATCGACTTCAACACGCACTCGCTGGAGACGAAGAATTTCAAAGCAAGCGCGGAGATTGATGGTTTGTACTGGCGCGAGCTCGAGCCGTTCAAAGCCCTGTCTTACACCGAAACTGCGAGAAACCTTGTGAGCAAGAAATGGGTGACAGAGCGGCTTGCGAAGGGGTGGATCTTAATGCGCTGGAAAGGTTGGTCTTATTCCCGACAACGTCATCCTTGGTATTATAATGATATGCTTAGCCCACCTACACCGCTAGAACGATGCTTTATTACCCCGTCACATTCCCGTCAAGGACTCACAATATCCGGCTTCTATTATATCTCCATTCGTCGCGAGGACGGTCATATCGAGGGCATGTACTATGACCCTGGCAGTTCACCATATCAGCACCTCTCTCTAACTCCACAAATGAGAGAGAAGATGGTTTTTCCTGCCTATGATTTCCGCTGAGCTACTGTCATTGATTGACTGTTTAATTGATTCATCCACTGATCAATGTACTTCGATTAACCGGTTGGATAAATACACACACCAGTCTCCTTCTATAATTTTGTCCTCTGGCACCAAGCATTACGCAAATCCGACCTCCAGTGAACGTTAGCCTTGCGCTTTGATGATTGGGTATATAATGTAATATATATCTCCTAGTTTCGGGTTTGCATTAGGTTTTATCTGCTTCACGGTATCCCGTCCAATCTCATGCGGAGTGTACGTGCACGGATGTCGCTACCAATATCATACCCCGACAGGTCCCCTTATTTTTATTTTTATTTTTTTATTCCCTCATCATTATCTCATTGGCGTCGATGAATGCTGGATATCACAGGGGATTGGGGAAAGTCAACTTATACCCTTCCTTTATTTTGACTGTTTCTTTTCCCATCTGTGTCTATCTTTTGAAATTTATACCATTATGCGTCCAGCGCCACTCAAACTTATGCAGTCACTATACAGCTACGTCTCCTGTTATGTCCTGTTTGTTCTTTTCCGCTTTGTTTCTATCTAATGTGAAGAACTGGGGGAGAGGGAGATTTCCCTCCTTTTTCTAGCCATTGACGCCATAGACGCCGCTACACCCCACTGCATTTCATTTGCTGAGAGCGGCATTCATCATTATCTCTATTATGTTATGTGTATTCGTGCACCTGTTCATAAATGGCATTTGGTATGCGAGATCGATATCTTTTAAGCCAGGATATCGATCACATTGGCCCAATTTTGCCTTTGAAATAACTGAACGCATGAATGAAAGTGGTCCAATATTTCTTTCAAATGGTGCCATCTTCTTACTCAATACTAAGATAGTAAGTTGTTACCATCTTAATCCAAGTGGACTAGAATGAACCAGGGGCGAATATTTAGATAGACCAAGTAATGTGTCATGCGAGTTAATATTGATCGGTACTCTAAAATGGAGAGCACCTATGTCCCCAAAAGTCCTGTCTAATTTCGCCTCAATTACAAGTTGAGCATGGTCCTAGCTCTTAAATCAAGCCAGAAGTTTCGTCCTTTCATTAATCATAGATATTTGTCCACCACCAAGCACGTCCATAACTCGCACATATACATGGCTTCTTAAATTTGTTTTTCTATTCCATTAACCTCCTATCCACCCAGTTATTTACCTCGGGTGTGTGGTTGAGTGGTCTATTGTTCGGTCTGGAAGTAGTTGAGGAGGACGGAGCGCTCCTGGGACTCTTCACCCCAGTCGCGGAGGACAACGCAAGAACAGTTAACGACCTTGCGAGGATTGCCTTCGCGGTCAAGAACGCCTGTTTAAAGTGAAAAACATTTAAATTAGCGCTCCCCAAGCTCACCAAACAGAATTCTCCCAAAACCAACAATCAGGAACAAGGGGGAAGAAAAAAAAAAACATACAAAGTCCAACCCACTCGCCCAACATCTTTCCATCAGGAACCTTGATGAGCGGAATCTTATGCTCCTGGCAGAGTGCAATGACGAGCTTCTTGTAAGCGTCTTCCTCGCAGCCCTCGTTGAGCACGCACATGTGCGCCTGGCGGCGGTCGAGCGCCTTGGAGGCTTCGCGCAAGCCACGGGCAAGACCGTCGTGGATCAGAGCGATCTTGAGAACACCCTTGAGAGCGTCCAGGACGGACATGGAGCTGCCAGCGGTAGCATCGGCGGAAACCTCGACCTCATCGGCAGCGCCGACGGGCGGGTTGGAAGCGGTCTCTTCTCCGTCCGACTGTTTTTTTTTTGTAATATGTCAATGAGTTATATTTTCCTTTGGCTCTGTTGTTGGGCTCAAGTGTGGGAGGTGTAGGGCTCAATTGATATGCACTTTATGGTTTGCTTGCGCTCCGGGCGCGATTTTGTGCATGGAGCCAAAGTGAGGAATGGGATGTCGTCAATTGTAGATCAGAGTGGAAGGTAGTTGCACGTACCATTTTCAATTATAGGAATATCGATGGGGATCGTTTCCAATGTCGGATTATCCTCAAAGAGGTGGGTGTAGAAAACAGGAGGTTCTTCGGTGTGAGGTTGAAAGTTGGTGATCTCTTGGTGTTGGAATTGCCGAAAATACCAAAATTTGAGCCTCGCCTATTTTGGTGTGCCCTAGAATACGATTATGTAAGCAGCTTTATTTTCGGGAAAAAGATTGCGCTCAAATAAACAGCTAGACAGTTGTCACAAATCTTGACAGATTTATTATTATTATTATTATTATTCCATTATACTCATATGCAAGCAGAGCTTATTATGAGTTCTTGTGTGATGTTAAATACAGGCCAAGAGTTGGCTATACAGGAGGAAATACAGGTGTTGAGACCACACCAAGATAACAAGAACATAGAAAATACGAATGAGTGGCAACTAGATAATGCAATAATAACTTCCCAGCCCAGGAACATAGAGTGATTAATTGTAGTGATTTGTACACCTCTTTATTTATTAGGAACCTGAGGAGCTTGAGTTCTGAATTTAATGTATTCCCTGCGGGTTTCAAACCTGCACACCTTGGTTTCCCACCCAAGGTGCTAACATAATTGTTATAAATACTCTATCTTGAACTAGAACTCACTCAGTTTCTGAGCTCAGCAGATCTGCTGCTGTCCAGATCGAGCAAAAACCGCCCCACCACGAACTCGCTCAATTTTTCGAATAAGAACCCGCCGATAGATCTATCGAAGAGCACTCGATCATACAAGCATTTTGACCCCAACGCCGACCGCATACCCCGTCTGGTGGTGGAGTTATTCAACCAAACGTGGTTTGAAGCCCCCGCGTGGGATATTCCCGCGTCCACCCCTACCACACCACAACCCCGGGTCAAATTGCCATACAAATTGTAAGGTGAAGAGACCTAGCCCTATGCGCCAATCTTCTTGATTTTGGAAGATCCCCGACCTGTGATTGTGGAGATATCTGGAGAGCAACCTCCGCGAAAACCCTGTCTGTGTTTGATGTTCCAAGACATCAACGCCAAGTCCCATCCACGTACCGCCCTGCCCAATCTGGCCCATCTCTGGCAGAAAAATACAAAAAGATACCTCGGCAATAGTATTTAATCGTGCCGCTGCTTACTAAAAACACTGAAATGATAAAAATCTTGTTAATTAATTAATAACCATCACAATGATGAATAAAGATGAAAATATTAAAGAGTGTATTCAGTAAGTTATCACTGTCTATAAAAAAAATTCAAAATTTAAAATATTATCTTTTTTATAAGAATTTAATATTCTCTATTAATATCTCTAAGTATGTATTAATAAAAGAAATCTGAATACTATGAAGATATTAGTTAATAAGAGATTAAATAAGAGTTAGAAGAATATAATTAAATAATGAATTAAGCTACTAAATGAAAAAAAATTACTCTCTTATAACTAGACTGATTATATAATTATATCTGAGATCAGAATCAAACTTTATAGTTATTATATTTAGACTAACTATGTAATCATGTCTGAGATCAGAACTAGATTTTTTAATAGTTTTATTATTAATTTAACTGATTTCATTACACAGTTTTAATATTAGATAGTAGTTTTATACTGTTTCAGTGAGACTTACTGTCTACTCTTATCACATTTTTTAAATGAGATTATAATTTTCACTTCTTAATTTTAATTATTTTTATTGCTTTAAATGACTTTAAATCTCATTTGAGTATTATCAAAAAGTGTTACTTTTTAAAAAATTAAAAATAGTCTAAAAAAAACCTTAAAATATCTAAAAATAGTAACTTTATGCTAAGAATAAGACTAAATGAGATCAAATGAAATCACTTTCTTATTTTTTTCAAGTCATGATTTCATTTTAAGATCTCATATATAGTTACTTTGCATGTTTTTTTAATGACTAGTCTCAGTGAGATTCATATCAATCAATGTATGAAATCAGATTAAATGAGATTAAATATGAAATTTATAATCTCAGCAGTTAATCTAGTCATATTTAAACTGATTATATAACTGTGTCTGAGATCAGAATCAAACTTTATAGTTATTATATTATTTAAATGTATTACTTCTGATTATGATTTGTGTTTTTTATATTAATTTCAAATCATATTATTTCAAATATTAAAGATTTCAGATTCACTTTTTAAATAAAAATCTAGTCTTAGATAAAGAATATATTTAAATTCTTAGTTACATTTTTATTCTGATCTCATTATTGAGAATAATATTAAATGAGATTATAAAATCATTTCTCACTTACATAATATTATAACATAGTACTCATTTATTGAAAATTTAATAGAGAGTATTATTAAATATTATTACTTTTCTAAATATAGATTATAATTTATATAATTTTAATTATAAAAAAAATATAAAATTATAATGTGACAGAACTGAAGCAGTGACTAGTCAGTAGTATTATATAGAGATAGTTATTTAAAAAGTTATATAAGTGAGCAGCGAGCTTGACTATCTTACTTAAATAACAAGCTTATAGACTACAGAATTATCATGAGAATATCACAGATACAGTACTTAGTATACTAAGAAAATTGTATAAAAAATACAGTAACTCTTGTATATATTTCAGTAGAAGAAAAATGAATCACTGACTTCTTTAATAAGAAGCCAGTATCTAGCTATTCTATATAGATAATAAGTGAATACTCTTCTTTCATTTTATAAGTGAGAATAGCTGAAGTGATATCTCAGTGATATCTCACTATTAAGAAAGAGTAATCTGCTGATCTTGTATAGAAGTGAGATTCTTATATTTATTAATTAAATCTTTCTATAATATATCTGAATAATGTTATAGAGTGATTGAAAACCAGTTTGAATAATCTGTAAGATGAATGAAATTATTCATAGAGAAGTGATAAGCTATATGAAACTGCAGTAAGATCTTGACATAGTTAGAGATATGATAATATTCTTCTCTTTAAAAGCATAGTTCTGATACTCTTAAGATTATTAGATTAGAAATTATCTTTATTATATAGTAATAGTTGCTAACTGATTTAACAGTATATATACTGCATATAATATGAAGAAATAAATGAGTTTTTCTACTGACTGTATAGATCTTTCTTTCTCATCTCTGTTTAAATTAAATACATGATAAAGTGAGTTTCTTATATATTAATTTGAAATGTGAAAAATGTAGTTAATAAGTGACTTACAGATCTCTTATCATATTCTGTTTCATGAATAAAATTCTCTGTAAAAGTAATGTATTTTAGAGATAAAGTTAACAGTAGTAACAGAATTTTTTGAAAAGATTTTCTTCTTTTATAACTCATTTTTTCTTTCTCTCTCTCATCTATAATAGTGAGTGTATAAGAATATTATTCTTGAAAGATAATAAGAGACTTATTCTGACACTTTCTAGTAATTAAATATCTTTATAGTGCAGCTGCAGTCTTCATGACTGTTAAGAAAGCTTGATTAAAGATGAAGACAGTAGTGTTAACAGATCACAGAAGTATCACTTATATTATTACATCTTCTTCTTCTTCTTCTTCTACTTCTCTTACAGTTATGATGATAATTACTGTATGATCTAGTAGTGAGATATCATCTCTTCTATCAGTTAACTTATCTGTACTCAGTTCATTCTCTGCCTCTCTCAGTACTGTTGTGATACTATCTCTCTCTTCAGTTAATATAATAATGTATAACTCTGTATAATCATTTGAAGAGAAGCTCAGAGAGAGCTTGATTTCAGAGATAGTAACTTTAAAAAGCTCAATCTGTAGTTTCTCTTCTATAATACATTCAAGCTCTGCTCAAAATACTGCTGAATTAAGTTCACAGAGTTCTGCAGTTTCTTTATCTTCTCTCTGTGAGAAGACTCTAATATAGTCTCTAATTAGTGCTATCACTTATCTGCACTGTGTTGAGTAACTGAAGAAAGAAGAAATCTTATATATCTGTCTCTTCTCTCACTTCTGTTATTTCTGTTATATCTGTAACAATAACTCCTGTCTCTCTATAAATATTATCTCATAGAAAGATGTTATATCAACTCTGATAAGAAGCTCAGATACTCAAGCAGTACAGAGTGAGAGTCTCAGAGCTTTAAGTGTTAATAGATTCTATTAAGACTAAGAAGATCTCTCTTACTTATCTGTAAAAGAAGATGAAAGTGTGAATCTTCAAGATAAAAAAATATCTCAGAATAACTAATTTTAAGAAGAGATTAGTCAGTACTGCTATTAAAAGTGTTACAGAGATTAATTACTGACTGAAGAGAATCTTACTTCAATTAAAGCAGATAACTGAAATACTTTATAAATTAATAAATTAATACTTTAAGTATCTCTTATACTCTTCTACAGCATACTTCTCTGTAGTACTGCAGTGCTAACTTCTTAATAGATAAAGATATCAGTGCTGAAGACTTCAATGATGAAGAATAAGTTTGATAAAAGTATAATTATTAATGAGTAGAGTTGAATCTCTCTTTTTACTTTTTCAGCAGACTGCAGTCTTATTAGAATAGCAGTGATCTGTGAGTTAATAATATTAATCTTTTATTAATTTCAAATATCTCTTTTCTCTAATTACTTTAAGAATTTTATACTTGTGTAGTCTTATTAAACTTCTAAAAACTCTTTGAGAGAAAATAGAAGAAGAGTGCTACAGAGTTTACAAGATATCAG